TTTTTAAAAAAAAAAAAAAAAAAAGAACTGACCAGACAGAGCCAAAATGTGTGACATTCTATAACATAACTGGCTTAAATTCCTTAAAAAATTCAGTATCATAAATTTTTTTTTTAAATGCAGAAATACTGTTCCAGATCAGAAAAGATGAAGGAGAGTAATGACCAAATGCAGCATATTAACCCAGACTAGGGATGGGGGTGGGAGTGGAATGAGAGTTATAAGAAAAAGTTTCAAGCAAATGGGAAAATTTGAATATGGACTTTATATTGGAAATTATTGAATTAATGTTATTTTCTTACATAGGTTAATGGTTCTTAGTTATTTGGGAGAATGTCTTTATTCTTAGGAGATACATGCTAAAATATTTAGGAGTGTCATGATGTCTGCAACTTAACTTTCAAATGCTTCAGCAAAAACTCAGAGTGAGGCGTAAAAAGCAAATGTGACAAAATTTTGAATCCAGGTGAAAGTTTATGGATGTTAAAAATCGTAGTCACAAGACGTGACAGTCATGGAGGATGACAGTCCATCCATTTTTCATGTTAATGTTTTCACATGAGGAGAGACCTCCACAGAGGTGCCTTAAGTACTACCTAGCTCTGCTTTTATTGGTGTCATACACTAGGATTTCACATAAAATTTTATTTGTAAAAAGGATTTCACTACAAAAAGGTGAAATCATTTCTCTGGCCAAGGTCTGACAACACAGGGCAAGCCTCCAGGGTCCACAGCAGACACTGCTGGTAAAGCGGATAGTCTGCTCAATCTGGGCTTGGCATCTCACCACAGTGTGCCAGTCAGCCACTATCAGATGGTATTTGGAATGAAACTTATTTGCCATCTCAGAACCAGATCATCAAAGAGCTGCATACTTAAATCACGTTGTCTTAGTACCTGACAGAATGGTTTTGCTCAACAATTAAGAGATTAAAAAAAAAAACACAACATAGTGATATAAAATTTGATCTTGGATGTATTGTGAAGATGATTTTGAAGATATTCTAACCTCTCAGGAGTCAGTCTCGGTATTGTTAAAAGCTGTGTGTTTCCTGATCAAGTGGTTTGCTTTCTGATTTATAGACAAGATTATGAATCTTGTAGCTGGCTATTTACTTCTGTGCTTTGTCTACTAGGAAGCTCAGGGACAAACTAGTGGTCCTCCTCTAGTAACTATCTAGGACTTCATGTTACGTATTTTTGTGAATTAACAATACTTCTGTGTTGTCTTATTTTCACTACTTTCCTTTCCTCTGTGTCCATTTTTCCTCAACTACTTATTTTATCTGAAGGTATGGTCTATATCTTTTAGGACATTTCAAATCTTTTTTGAATTATTATGTGCTTAACTACATGAATAAACAGAATGGTGGCAGTCCAAATAGAAAGTAAGAGAAAATCTGCAAAAAAAGGAAACTATAAGACCTTATTGGCACACTCATTATTATGAATGAAGAGAAGGAACTCAAAAATCTCTAGCTGTACTCAGAGTATGGTAGAACCAAGGACAGAAAGGAGAAGGAAGGGGAAAGATTATTACTTAGAGATGATTAGTTAGGTTTTAGGGAAATTGATTTAGCAGACAGATAACCAAGCGGAGGTATTTTTAGGCCGCTGGGAATATGTTCTAGAGCTGGAGTCAAAGATCCAGGCTGGTGATATGTTGATTTGAGAGCTATTAACATTGAAATAATGACTGCATCCAAGAAGGGTAAAAAGATTCCGTGGTGAAGTGCAGAGACAGAAGACCAAAATATAAATCCTGTGAGTAAAGTTAGGATTAGGAGTTTTGAGAAGAAACAGATACCAGTGGTAACAAAAGGAGAATTAAAGAAGAAGAAAGCATCAAAATAATATTGCCATAGAAGTCAAGAAAGAACATAAATTTGCCCGTGGTTAGATTCCTGGTCAGGGCACATGCCTAGGTTTTAAGCTCCATCCCCAGTAGGGGGCATGCAGGAGGCAGCCAATCAATGACTCTTATCACTGATTTTTCTGTCTCTCTTCCTCTCCCTTCCTCTCTCTGAAATCTTTTTTTTTAAAAAGAAAGACCATAAATTTCAAAGAGCATACTAATTTTTTTAAGAGTGGAAGTTGCCAAAATAAATGAGATGAACAATGAAAGGTCCATTGGGTTTACTAAGGAAGCAAGCACTGTTCGTCTGTGAACAGTGGGGCAGAGGCACAGAACCCAAACCTGAGGAGCCTCCCTGCCTGTCTCTCTGTGGTGGCTTGCTAGTTATCAACTCCAACTCTGAAGCCATATCTTTGAATTTTTATTAGCTTGCTTCACAAAGGAAATAAGTGTCTTTAGAATTCTAATATCATATTGCAATCTATTATAACTTACACGAGAATCTCAGTCTTAATGTCTCAGTAATTATGGTGACATAAGTAAAATCTAAAATCTGAAAATTATCATAAAATATTCTAATTCTGGTTAAAAGATATTATAGGAAATCAATCAAAATGTATTTCTCCAGGACCATGATGCCCCTTATTTCCATCTTTAAGGAACTCCATGTCAGCAGAAGGCTTACCTTCTCTATCTTGAAATGTGAGCAGGTCTGATTGAATGTGTCTGCCACTTTGCCGTATTCTGGTTGACCAGGCTGTAGCTCAACAAGACAGACACGCTGCTGCTTCATATCACTCCAGTGTCCAGGGACTTCAACTGCAAAGTAGATATCTGAGGACACTCTTCACCAAGGAGGACTCATCTACACAGTCTACCTCCCTGGTATGCTTTGAAAAACCTAGTATCATTCATGTTCTTGTTTTACAATCTCCTAATTCAATGTATTCAAGAAATTTCTTATCATTCTGGGAGAATGTTTTTCAAAGTGTGGACCACACAAAACCACAGAACCAACCATAATGCTTAAGAAAGAAAAAACAAAACCCACAGATCCATCAACCAAAATCTCTGAGGGGTGGAACCTGTGTCCCCACATCTTCACAAGTTTTGATCGTGCTCATGAGAACTGCTGGTATCAGGTGACTCGGCTGCACATTCTGCTCAGTCTCTAATCTGTCATAATTTAATAATTTAACAATCGCCTGGCCGGGCGTGGCTCAGCGGTTGAGCATCGACCTAGGATCCAGGTGATCAGGGTTTGATTCCCAGTCAGGGCACATGCCCAGGTTGTGGGCTGTGGCCGATCAATGACTCTCATCATTGATGTTTCCATCTCTCTCTCTCCCTCTCCTTTCCTCTCTCTGAAATCAATAAAGATATATATATATTTTTAAATTTAACAATCAATTATTTCCTTATAATGTTTTAAATAGTTACTCTTGTACTGCTTACAAACACACGGATTTTTGCCTGAATGCCCACCACAAGGTCCTCCACATCTGTTCCTTCATTACTCTTCATAGCATCCTTAAGAGTTGAGTGGGTGGCGAGTTTTGCTATGTGGTAGGTTGTGGTGGCAACTCCATCTTCCCTTCTGCTAAACAGAATTTTACTCTTGACTTCTCATTTCCCCAGGGTTGCTCAGGGTATGAGGAATTCGTTCACACTGATCTCCCAAAAGATGAAGAGAAAATACTGGAAGGGAAGCCATTTTTACTAGCTTTCGGTGGGAGATTTCAGTGGTTTGAAGGCAGGAGTGGCTGTCTATACAAGACAAGCATTCCCTTCTCGGGAAGCAGATCCAGTCAGAGAATCTAAGGCTGCTTCCTGATGTGTGTGTGTCAAGCAACTTTATTTTCAGGGCAGAGGAGGAAGTGACTTCTGGGAGAAGATCCTACAGGCTCCCGGTCCTCTCTGGGTATAATCACAGATGCAGAAAGTGCCCGCTCTCTGACCAGGCTGAAAAAACCTTGGGCCACTTTCTTTAAAGCCCATGGCTTTCCCTCTCCCGACTAAAGCAGCCACTGCCTCCCAGAAGAACTGGCTCTGGGAATCTTGTAAACTGTAAAAATCAAAGGTTTGGCTATTGTTACCACTAAGATGGGTCATCCTTGGGATGTTGGGCGCACCCACGCTATATTTTCCCAGCCATAATGTAAGCTCCTTAAGCTCAGAGACCAAGTTTCCTATTTTATTCCATAAGGTTACGTGAATTTTATATACTTGAATACAGTTTTGATGTATGTACAAAACAGTGTTAAGCCCGAAGTAAGTGTAAAATAATGGATAACAAGCATGGGAGTTTGACTTACCTTCAGGTTTCATGAGGCGCTGAACAGATAAGCTGTGTCCCTTTGCATCTGTAGCAATGAATGTTTTCAAGTCCACTGTGTAGCTCTGCTTATTAATTTTGACAACTAGTTTTCCCTCTTTTTTTCTTGCATCCTCCAATTGCAGATTGGTTATTTTGTCAAAATTATAAAAAGTGTTATTGTCGTTATATTGCCATTCTACAAAGTTACTGACGTAATCTGCTCTGGATTCCTGCTCTTTGGCTAATCTAACTGTCTTGATCATTTCCTCAATTGTATTTCTAGCCTGTTCCACATCTCTGGTGATTCCTGAAACTTCAATCAGAGGTTTTTGATGGTCGAAGTGCACTGTAATATTCAAGTCCTTCTGCAGCTTATTCAATTCCTGACATTCCTTTCCATCAAAGTCTTTGATACATTCATCTACACTGGTGTAAGACCTCTGATCCTTTTTAATCAGATCCTGTAAAGTGGAGATGGCTTTTTCCACACATTTTTCATTTTCACCACACACCTGAAAAATTGCTGATTCTATTTTCTTCTCGAAAACAAAACACTTTTGTTTTGGGGGAGGTTGCTTTGAGAAGCCAAAAAATGCTAAAAAAGAAACGAAAGGGAATGTAATTGTTTTGGATTTAAAAAGAAAAAAAAAAAGATTTAGCTATTTCTCCCTTTCTTCCTCCTTCCCCCCCTCCTCCCTTCTTTACTTCCTTTTTCTTTTATAGTCACCGTGCTGTATGTCACATCCCCAGGACTTATCTTATAATTGGAAGTTTGTACCTTTTGACCACCTCCACCGATTTTGCCCACCTCCCATCACCCCACCTCTGGCAACTACCAATCTGTTCTCTGTATCTATGAGTTCAGTTTTTTGTTTGTTTGTTTTAGATTCCACACATTTGAGATATCATACATTATTTGTCTTTCTCTGTTTGACTTGCTTCATTTAGCATAATGCCCTCAAGGTCTATCTATGTTGTTGCAAATGGTAGGATTTCCTTTTTTAGGACTGAATAATATTCCATCATATATACACAGTAAGGATAAAAGTAGGTTTACAGTTGTTCATATGGAAAATAATACAATAAAAAATAATAATACAAGAATTCTGGCTCACGTACTCACAACTGTAAACCTACTTTTGCCCCACATGTGTATATATCACATCTTCTTTATCCATTCATTTGCAGATAGACAATAGGTTGTTTCTGTGTCTTGGCTATGTAAGTAATGCTTCAGTGAACATGGGGGAGCAGCTATCTCTTCAAGATAATGATTTTATTTCCTTCAGATCAATACCTAGAAGTGAAATTGCTGGATCAGGTGGTAGTTCTATTTTTAATTTTTTTAGGAACCTCCATACTGTTTTCAGTAGTGGCTACACCAATTTACATTCCCACCAACAGTGGACAAGGGTTTCCTTTTCTCCACTTTTTTTTTTTTTTAAAGTCTTTATTGATTTCAGAGAGAGGAAGGGAGAGGGGGAGAGAGAGAAACATCAATGATTAGAGAATCATTGATTGGCTGCCTTCTGCAGGCCCCCAACTGGGGATCCAGCCCGCGACCCGGGCATGTGCCCTGACCGGGAATCGAACCATGATCTCCTGGATCCTAGGTCGATGCTCAACCATTGAGCCAAGCCCAGCCGGGCCTTTTCTCCACATTTTTGCCAACATTTATTTCTTGTCTTTTCCATAAAAGCATTCTAACATGTGAGGTGATATTTCATTGTTTTGATTTACATTTTCCTGATGATTAGTGATGTTGAGCACCCTTTCATGTACTTGTTGGCTATTGGTAGGTATGTCTTCTTTGGGGAAAAAAACGTCTATTCATATCCTCTGTGCATTTTAAAATTGAATTGTGTGGGGTTTTTCTATTGAGTTGTATGAGTTATTTATATATTTTTGATATTAACCCCTTATCAGCTGTATGACTTGCAAATATTTTCTCCCATTCAGTAGGTTGTCTTTTCATTTTATTGATGGTTTCCTTTGCTTTACAGAAGCTTTTTTACTTGATGTAGTCCCACTTGTTTATTTTTGCTTCTGCTGTTTGTGTTCTTGTTGTCAAATCCAAAAAATTATTGCCAAGACTGATATTGAGTAGCTTACCCTGTTTTCTTTTAGAAGTTTAATGGTCTCAGGTTTTATATTCAAGTCTTTAATCTAGTTTGAGTGGATTTTTGTGTGTGGTGTAAGAGTGGCCAGCTTCATTCATTTGCATGTGGCTGTCCCAGCGCCATTTATTGTCCCAGCGCCATTTATTTTAGCATATGTGCTACCGAAGTGAGTGCCCAATACTATTTATTAAAAAGACTATCCTTTCCCCATTGTATATTCTTGACTCCTTTGTTGTAAATTAATTTACCATATATGCATAGGTTTATTTCTGGGCTCTCTATTCTCTTCCATTGATCTATGTGTTTGTTTTTAACCAATAGCATACTATTTTGATTACTATAGCTTTGTAATATATTTTGAAATCAGGAATTGTGATGCTTCCACCTTTGTTATATTTTCTCAAAATTGCTTTGGCTTTTTGGGGTCTTTAGAGGTTCCATACAAATTTTAGGATTGTTTGTTCTACTGAGAAAATTAAATTGGAATTTTTTTTTTTTTTGTAATCCTCACCTGAGGACATTTTTCCATTGCTTTACAGAGAGAGTGGAAGGGAGAGAGAGAGATAGAAACATCAATGTGAAAGAGACACATCGATTGGTTGCTTTCATAAGTGCCCTGACTAGGGATCGAGTACATGCCCTTGATGGGAATCAAACTAGAGATTCTTTAGTCCATGGGCTGATGCTCTAACCACTGAGCCAAACCAGCTAGGGCTCCACTGAAATTTTGATAGGGATTATACTGAATCTGTAGATTGCTTTAGGAAGTATGGATAGTTTAACAATATTAATTCTTCCAATATATGAACAGAATGTCTTTTCACTTATTTGTGTCCTCTTCAATTTCTTTCATCAGTGTCATAACTTTCACCTCATTGGTTAAATTTATTCCTAGATATTTTATTCTTTTTGATGCAATTGTAAATGGGATTGTTTTCTTAATTTTCTTTTTGATAGTTCATTAAAGATTAGCCTTTTCAAATAAGACAGAAAGCCCGGCCGGGTGTGGCTCAGCGGTTAAGTGTCGACCTAGGATCCAGGCAATCAGGGTTCGATTCCCGGTCAGGGCACATGCCCAGGTTGCGGGCTCAATCAGTGACTCTCTCATCATTGATGTTTCTATCTCTCTCTCTCTCCCTCTCCTTTCCTCTCTGAAATCAATAAAGATATATTAAAAAAAAAAAAATCAAATAAGACAGAAAAAGACAAATATCATAAGATCTCACTTACATGTGGAATCTAAAAAACAACAACTGCCCTGCCGGGTGTGGCTCAGCAGTTGAGCGTCAGCCTGGGATCCAGGTGGTCAGGGTTTGATTCCTGGTCATGCTCGGGCTGCAGGCTCGATCCCCGGTCGGGGGAGAGCAGGAGGCAACCGATCAATGACTCTCTCATCATTGATGTTTCTCTCTCTCTGTCTCCTTTCCTCTCTCTGAAATCAATAAAAGATATATTTAAAAATAAATAAAAAAACAACAAACAACCCAAACTCATAGAAAAAGAGATCAGATTTGTGGTTACCAGAGGAGAGTTGGGGGGAAGGGAAAATTGCAGAAAGGTGGTCAAAGGTACAAACTTCCAGTTACAAGATAAATAAGTACTAAGGATATAATGTACAACATGATTGATGCCTATAGTTAACACAGCTATATGATATACATGAAAGCTGTTAATTCTAAGAGTTCTCATCACAAGGAAAAAACTTCATCTTTTTGCTTTCTCTTAACTGTATGAGATGATGGATGCTAACTAAACATATTGCAGTAATATATGAAGTCAAACCATTATGCTGTACACCTTAAATTTATACAGTGATGTATGTCAATAATTTCTCAATAAAACTGGGGGGAGCTAATAAACTACTGCAAAAAATAATTTAGAGTTTTAACTATTTCTCATGTGACATCAATAATAGAAACATGTAGTTCATAAAAATCAACAACTCACATGCAATTTTAGATATCACAGACTGTGGAGCAGCCTGAGCGCCTTCTCTTTTTTTCATGCTGGCACAAAATACGTCCAGTACTTGAGGCAGAAGGATAACAACTTTAACTTTTTTCACAGACTGGACTGATCCTTTCTGGATGAAGTCTTCAATGGCATCAATTATGGCTTCAGCAACCTTATGTGGGTCTTGGTTAGCATTTCCTGGAAAGGCAAATAAAAATTACTAGAAAAATAAAGACCCAACTGGAAAAGGCTGAGGAATAAATTAGGGATTCCAGTTCTCATAACTGGATTATAATACACCACCACCCCAAATTTTTCATCTCCATAGACTTTTCTAACAATACATCAGCAAACACTTTTGAAGTCCTAGACACAGTGGAGAGTTCTTGTTCCAGGATGCCAAGAAGCCAACAGCCCAACACTGAACAAAAGACTCATAAATCTAACCTAGGGATCACCTGCATGTATACTTGACCTTTTGTTCCCCCTCTTTTGCCACCCACACACTTTCATGTGTATATCGTGGGCACTCTGTATTGCAGTGGTTTGTTTACATGTCTGTGTCTCACAATAGGCTAGGTGCTCCTTTTGGACTAGATCCTTTTCTTAGTCATCTTTTCTATCCCATGTGCCTCAACTCAGTGCCTGGCACATAACAGGCACTCAGAAAACATTTAATCAAACTAATTAATAAGCTAATAAACATGGGAGTGATAAAGAGAGTAGAGTCAAGGATTCTAGATAGAAAGTAATGCTTTTAACATAATCAGAGATGTAACAGGAAAGTGTGGTTTGGGAGAGAAGACAGTAAATTGGAGTTTGGAGTTTGCACTGAGTTTAAAGTGCTTGCAGGTATCACTGACCGCCCATTCTCTCCCCTGAGGGTGGGTATCTGTAGGTAACAGGTAGAGGGCTTCCTTTACTGCCAGAAGCTGTCTTGATCCCTGCTAGTCAAACTCAACTCATAAACACCATTAAGGAAGAAAGCATCCCCATCTGTTAGTCTAAGGACCAGCTCAAAGGGTGATAGAACTAGGTAAAGAAGACAAGCAAGGAGAACCTGCTAACATGCATTTATTTGTGCAGAACAGCAATGCTACCAGGTCAGTAGAAGAAACAAAAGATTTGCAGTAACCCAGAAATACTCAAACACGTGTACATATTTATATAAAACTAAAACTGCCTCATTTCCTGGTTTCTTCTTTGACGACACCCAGGGACTCCCTTGGGAAGGTCTCTATACCAACCCTGGGATGCATGCTTTCTTGGCCCAAATAAAGTTAAGGTAGAAACACAAGACCAGAAGAAAGACAAAAAAGCAAATGGAGACAAAGACTGAGGAGTCATTAGTGGGTATTCACAAAAGATGACAGACAGACAGGGAGACAGATAGATAGATGATAGACAGACAGATAACATGTTAGCTGATGTGCTAGGATTGGAGGATACTACAAGGGAATAAAAAACATAAAGGGGCTATAAATTATACCTTTAGAAATAGGAAAGTAATAAAGTAGACATAGCATTCCATGTGGAAACATTAAGAGGAATGGTAGAGGATTACACAAATCAGAATGTGGGACATTCTGAAGAAGGCCCAGAAGGTGACAAGGATGGGTAAGTTATTGAGGCTAAACTTCTGGAGGGCCTAGCATGCCAGTGTAGATGTTCAAACTTAGATTCTTGGGCAATGGAATGATCAGTCCAGTGCCTAGCATTCTCTCTCTGGAACTGGTCAGCTCCATTCCATTTAAAGCCTGAGGGGATTTGCCTCCCCTGACCAGCTCTCTTAAGGGAGACCAAGCAAAAATTCCTGACCAACACGCATGACTCAGATTCCTGGGAAAAGAGCTCAAAGAGCACCACCTTACTAATGGTAAACCCAAAGCACATCTTTATATATGAAGAATCAATCACACAATCACTAGAGGAAAAGAGGAAACTTGAAAGAGGCAAGTAGGCTGAGAAGAGAAAGGTGGCAAGTTGAGTTTCTGGCCCATTAGAATCCACTGGGTTACAGTGATTGAAGGGCTTCTGTGCAGAGATGCCTTAAGGCCAAACTACAAAGCCACTGCTCAACAGGTAAGAGAAGAGGCCTGGAAATGCTCGTCTGGGAGTCAGTTACAGGAAGGTGGAAGTCAATGCACTGATGTTCTCCATGAAGAGGGGATGGGAGGGGGCGTTAAGGTCTAAATAATTGGGGATATGTAGAGGGTAGAAAAAGAGAAAAGAGCAGATCAAAAGAGGAGGGATGGTCTTTCTGTCTTTGCTCCTTTCCATTCCCCTCTCTTTCTCTCCCTTCCCCTCCATGTTAGGAAGCAAATGTCTCTCTAATCCAACACTCTCTTTGGGTTTCTTCATGTTTTTCCTCTTTTTCTAAAACTACCCACAGGCCTTGTTCATTCCCTCAGTGGCTGTCTTGGGGGTGAAGAAGCTGCCCTTACTCAGACTCAGCATGAACTACATTCAAGTCAGCAGGAAATCAAAGGGAAAAGGGACATCTAGGAATTTAGCCTTGAGAGGCTACCAACCTGTCCCAATGGCTGGGAGGCAAACGGACGAGTAATTCCGTTTTTCACACTCTAGCAAAACACAGGAAACCGATCTCTTGACATCATTTCCGCCAATGACATGAATAATATTCTTGCACTTCAGTAATCCACCATCAGTAATTATATAACCATTGTTTTGCCGTTGAGCTAAGAAACACAAAATGAAAAGATGCAAAATCAGATGCTGAACCCACTCTGATTGTTTAGAAAGCAAAATGTCTGGTTTGGCAAATAAAGCATTTTACATGAATAAGAGACTCCTGAAATACTACCTTTGACAAATCTTTCTTGCTTACCTTCTCTTTTTTTTTAATCTTTATTGTTGAAATATTACAGATGACTCCTTTTTCTCCCCCAATCATCCCCTGCACCCTGTATCCACCCCCCACCCCCATCTTCTCCACACTAGTGATTGTGTCCATGGGTTATGCATATATGCACATAAGTTCTTTAATTAATCTCTCCCCACCNCCCCACCTTCCCTCTGAGATTTGTCAGCCTGTTCCATGCTTCTATGTCTCTGGATCTATTTTATTCATCAGTTTATTTTGTTCATTAGATTCCACATATGAGTGAGATCATGTGATCCTCCATGTATTTGAATGTTTTTGAGTGTTTTTACTGTAGTTGATTTCTAATTTCATGCCATTGTAATCTGAGAAGATGCTTGATATTTCAGTCTTCTTGAACTTGTAGAAACTTGCTTTGTGTCCTAACATGTGGTCTGTCTTTGAGAATGACCCATGTGCACTTGAGAAAAATGTATATTATGCAGCTTTGGGGTGAAATGTTCTGTGAATGTCAATTAAACCCATCTGATCTAGTGTATCATTTAGAATTACTGTTTCCTTGTTGATTTTTTGTTTGGAAGATCTACCTAGTGAAGTCAGTGGGGTGTTAAAGTCCCCTAGTATGACTGTATTGCCATTGATCTCTCCTTTAAAGTCCTCCAGAAGTTTTTTTATATATATTTAGATGCTCCTATATTGGGTACATGTATGTTTATCAGGGTTATATACTCTTGTTGGATTGATCCCTTTAGTATTATGTAGTGACCTTTCTTGTCTCTTGTTATGGCCTTCATTTTAAAGTCTATTTTGTCAGATATAAGTATTGCTACCCCAGGTTTTTTTCATTTCCATTTGCATGGAAATTTTTTCCCATCCCTTCACTCTCATCCTTTGTGTCCTTTGTTCTGAGATGGGACTCTTGCAGACAGCATATGTTTGGGTCATGTTTTCTAATCCATTCACCTACCCTGTCTTTTGATTGAAGCATTTAATCTATTTACGTATAAGGTTATTACTGATACGTGCTTATCTATTGCCATTTTAATTCTCTATGCCTATGTTTCTCTATTTCTTCTTATTATTACCGCAGTCCCTTTAACATTTCCTGCAATGCTGGTTTGGTGGTGATAAACTCCTTTAGCCCTTTTTTGTCTGGGAAGCTCTTTATTTCACCATCTATTTTGAATGATAGCCTTGCTGGATAGAGTAGCCCTGGTTTCAGATCCTTGCTTTTCATTACCTTGAATACTTCATGCCATTCCCTTCTGGCCTATTTAGTTTCTGACGAGAAGTCAGCTGACAGTCTTATGGGAGCTCGTTTATAGGTAACAGATTGCTTTTCTCTTGCTGCCTTTAAGATTCTCTGTTTTAATTTTTGGCACTTTAATTATGATGTGTCTGGGTGTGGCCCTCTTTGGGTTCTTCTTGCTTGGGACTCTGTGCCTCCTAAACTTGTGTGACTTTTTCCTTCAACAAGTTACAGAAGTTTTCTGCCATTATTTCTTCAAACAAATTCTCTACCTCTTGCTTACATTCTTCACCTGCTGGCACTCTTATGATGTGAATATTGTTATGTTTCATGTTGTCCCACAGCTCCCTTAGACTGTCCTCCTGTTTTTTAATTGTTTTTTTTTCTTTTCGGTTCTCTGATTGATTTTTTTCTACCCTGTCTTCTAATTCACTGATCTGATCCTCAGCTTCCTCTATTCTGCTGTCTATTCCTTCCAATGAATTCTTTATTTCTGCGATTTCATTCTTAATTTCCTTCATAGTTTCCGTTGAACATCCTTACAATCATTATTCTGAACTCTATATCTGATAGATTGCCTATCTCCATTTCATTTCTCTTTTCTTCTGGAAAATTCTCTTGTTCTTTCATTTGGGCCTTGGTTTTTTTTCTCCCGTTTGGGTTTGGCTGCCTGTTTGGGTTTGCTTCTTTGTAGTAGGTAGTTCTTCTAGGGCTTCCAGTCTTTTTGGGTGGTCTCTGGTGCAGGTCAATGTCAGATGCTGTTTGTGACTGGCCTTGAGTACCCTGTTTGGAGCTCTCAGTGATCCACAGCATGTGGCCCCCTTTATGAGGATGGGTGCCTTTGGAAAGGACTAATCTACTCTGCCTTCCCTCCACCAGAGCTGAAGTTGAGTGGCTGCACACAAAAATTCTGTGTTAGCCCTTTAAGAGGGTGCCTGTATTTCCAGCTGTCTCTTCCTGGCAGACAGAAACCCCCACTGTTTTTCACAACCATATATTATGTGGGCACCTTTCTCAGTTCTGGTGCTCAGCTTGGTGTTTAGGCCCAAGAGTTCTCAGTGGAAACCGCCCACAGCTGAGATATCCCTCCAGACCTTCCGCTGATGTCTGCGGGAGCCTGGCCAGCCCTCTCATGCCTCTGCACTTCTCTATGTGGTCTCCACTTTTCATCCTTGGTTATGAGGATGCTCTCTAGCTAGTCTTCAGTTGATTATTCAGGATGGTTTTTCTATATTTTAGTTGTAACTCCAGTTTGGCCCTGGGAGAGTATCAGTGTAGCTGCCATCATTTTGGAATTGCTTACCTTCTCTTTTCAACCATTATTTCACTTTTCACTTCTTTTCACTTCTAATTCTCTATGAGTGGAATTCTTTAGTAAAATGTGTGATTTTAATATTAATATGCTGCCTCCCAACCCACAGCCTCTCCACAGCCTCCCATATTCAGCCTTCCACCTACAATTTAGGACCAAGAACAAGCATTGTGCCTTACCTAGGCGAGAACATTGCATTTCCACATTTTGTCCAGCCTGTTCCAAAATTGCTTTGGAGACCCCTACATGAGAACATCAACATGATTACAAACATGAATAAAAAAATCGGTACAGTACACTTGAATCAGAACGATTGTCTCATTATCTAAATGCTTTCCCCATCATCAAGGAAATCCTATAAACTGGGTATTTCTGATCACAGGGAAGAAAAACTCATGAAATAACTGTTACCAATTATAAGAAACCATGTCAAAATAATTTTAAAATTATTAATTAATATTAATAAGCCAAAGTTGTAGAAACCAGTTTAGCTATAGCAACTGTAGAATAGTTTGGCTATAGGAACCCTCCTTCATGGGATCTACTGTGACCATTACACTAGTAAAAACCCTACAATTAAAGTACCTGCTTTGAGATTAAATGTCTTTGATGTTGAATTTACAATCACATCTGCCTCTTCTTTAGAAATATCTCCAGAGGCCACCTGGAAGGTGATGGGGCCAATTTTCATTTCATGAACTCCTGAGCTAGGGTTGGTAACAGTCCCATAGATAACTGAAAAGAAAGAAAATGGCATCAATAATCAAGTTAACAAGAATGACTTAGGTCTCATGCTCCTCACATGTGCCCTCCCGTACTTCTCTTCCTCTCCCCCCCTACTCTCCCCCCCAACCCCTCCTATCTCTGGCTTTTAACCTGGCCTTTAGCCCCAAGGACGGTATGTTTCTGCAAAGGATTATAAAATATAATACATATCAAATGTGGACTTCTGGTGCTGGCCAAAGTGAAGTCCGCTTGGGAGAGCTTATCTCTCCCACTGATTACAACTAAAACATGGAACAAATACAAAATCCACTTACTGAGGACCCAAAAGTAAACAACAGCAGGCACATTGGGAAGGCGAGTCAAAACGTGAAGAGGCAACTTATATAGAGAGGAGTTTTGTTTTGAAATTTTTCCTCTATTCCCTCCCAGCTTTGACCCAGGGGTGGCCCTAGCTGTGGAACTACACAATGAGCAAAGGTAGCAAAACTCTTCGAGGATCCCTGTCTTTGTGGCCAGAGCATTGAGAAAAGGGGGCCCTGTGAACTGAAGAGTATGTCAGGGATCTTCCTTATTTTCCATATTTATTCTTCTTTAATTCAGGTCCTATCCCCAAGGTGACCCCAGTTGCAGAACTCCATAGTGGCACCACCAGGAGCTAAAATTGTGAGAGACATTCTGTATTTCTATCCGGAAGAATCAGAGAAAAGCGCCCTTGTGGTCTGAAAAGTGTATATGGGTGTGTGAGAAATCCTTGTTATTTTTTCTCTGTCTCTCCACTTTCCTCAAGGGGAGCACTGATTACATAAAGTTATGAAGCAACAGAACAGGCAGGCAGCTTAAACTCCAAGAGAACACTGTCTCTCTGGCTAGGGCCCTAGAAAATTGGCTCCTGCAAGCCACAGAGTGTGAGGGGAGTCCTGGAGAGGGGAGAGATGGAAAAGGTGAACCCATGTTCAGTGATGAACTGGAATAAATCCTGAGCCTGCCCTGAAGCTACACATGTGGGAGCAGTCCCAAGCAGCACAACAAAGGCTCTGAGCACCTCAATAACATGGGAACCTTGGCCCACCCAGAAGGGGAGACAAAACTTTTAGAATGAACTTGACTGACTACCTGCTAAAACAATCACCATTTTCCAGGGGATTTTAACAAGTCCCAAGTTTCACAACATAATAATTAAAATAACCAGCCTATAATCCAAAACTGCTTGTCAAACAAAGAACTGAGAAAATGTGAGCAGTTCTCAAGGATAAAGATACTCAATATAGATGCTAATCTCAAGATGATCCAGATGTTAGAATGATCAGACTTTAAACTATCTAGTATAAATATGCTCCCCGAGGTCAAAGTAAATATATTTGAGTGAGTGGAAATAATTTGGAATGAACAGAAAAATAAGAATCTCTGCAGAGAAATATAAATTATAAAATAAGAATCAAATGGATATTTTAGAACTTAAAAATACAACATCTGAAATTTTAAAAATTCACTGGATAGGCTCAATAGTATAGCAGACAGAGAAATGAGTCTCTATGAACTTGGAGGTAGCTCAATAAAAATTATCCAATCTGAAGAACAGAGAGAAAAAAAGATTAAAAGGAAAAAAAGAACAGATCCTCAGGACTGGTAGGACACTATCAAAAGGCTTAACATTCATATTATCTGAGCACCAGAAGGAGAGGAGACAGAGACAAATGCAGGAAAAGTATTTGAAGAAATGACTAAAAAATTCCCAAATTTGATGGAAGACATACATATTCAGATTTAGGAAGCCTCGGCAAACTCCAAATAGGATAAAGTCAAATATGTAACAGCAAATTTGATGGAGAAGCCACATTTGGTTGCTATTGTCTCTTTAAATGTGTCTATTTCTGAAAACACATGTCACATCATCCTTAGAAAATAGTAGCCTTATCACTACTTAAAACCCCAGTGTATAGATTACTTGGCCTGCTTATTCTTCTACTACAGATCACGCGAATATGGCCAGTGTCTTGTGTGCTCAGGTGTATGGAATATAATTTAATGTCTTCTTTATCACAAATTGATTTTTTTCATAAAAATCATCACTATCATCTGTCACTTATCATTAAATAATTATTTAGCCACCAGAACTAATTTCTCAATTTAAAAGCTTTTCTGAACTCCAAAAGAAACAACAAACAAAAAGGAAAAACAACAACAAAGAATAAAATAAAGAGAAAAAAGATGAAAAATTATCTTTACTGAACCTTGTGTATTGTCAGCCTTGGGACTTTTGTCACTGATGAAATTTCCATTAGCCCTTTTGTCAAATTCATCTGAAAATGCCTGGAAACACAAAGACAGTTTTAACTACTACAATCCTCAGTAGATGAATGAATGTGATTCATCATAGATTTTGATCCTGCATGTACAAATATGGAGGAGAGAACAATTCTCAAAGTATTGTTTATTATCATTATAGATTTTTAAAATTATGACAGTACATATATTATTTCTACAAATGCATCCCATGAAAATTATCAAAGATGGGAATGAAGATATAAATACAAAAAAATTCATTACGGTGCTATTTATTAAAATTAAAAAAAATAAAACAGTTTAAAATCCAATAGGGAAATGGTTAAATTTTAGTATATTCATGTGTTAAAATACTTAGCAGCCGTTAAGAATTGCATTTTCAGCCCGGCCAGTGTGGCTCAGTAATTGAGCTTCGACCCATGAACCAAGAGGTCGCCGGTTCTATTCTGGGTCAAGGCACATGCCCGGGTTGCGGGCTCATGATTGTGCAGGAGGCAGCCAATTGATGATGTTTCTCTTTCATCAATGTTTCTATCTCCTTTTCCCTTTCCTTTCCTCTCTCTAAAAATCAATAAAACATATATTTTAAAAAGAATTGCATTTTCAAAGAGTAGTTAATGGAATAGGGAAATACTCATTTTGTACTATTAAATGAAAGAGGAATAACTTTATATTATTATGACACCACTTTACATAGTATACATGTATAGAAGACTAGAATGAAATGACTAAAAGAATTTATGCATTTTGCGTTGTTCAAAGTTTCTACAGTGAATATGTATTACTTTCATAATCAGTAAGAGCAAATAATTTGCCAGTTGTTAAAAATACAGTATCATGAGAAAGACAATCACAAGAACCCAGACACTTCCATTTTTAACTTCTTATTTGTACCAGGAGAGGAATGGCTAGGGGAGTAGTGCATTTTGGAGCAAGAGGTTATTATTTTAGGGTTAATGAACCTGTGAATTCGATTTCTTTGCCTGGTAGTGACACCCCAAAAATCATCACTTTCTTCCTCCTTGTAAACAAGCAACAGAGAATATTGTTGGTAAAAAACAACTACCACCAAGTAACATCTTGGCTAAAAGACTGATACAATAAAGGGGGAGGGAATGGGAGAGACTATAGAGCCAGGATGTCAGACTCACAGACCTCCAGGGAGAGTAAGAGAAACATCAGTGAGAAACATTGATTGGCTGCCTCCTGCATGCCCCGTATCAGGGATTTAGCCTTCAGTCCGGCCTGTGCCACGAATGGGAATCAAACCTTCAACCTCTCAGCGCATGGGACAATGCTCAACCAACTGAGCCACACCCGCCAGGGCCATGGTGGTGTTACTTTTTAAAGAGAATTCCAATGTCTAAAATAAATAATGAATTGTTTATGAGTAAAATTTATATCTGGGATTTGCTTCAAAATAATATGGGGGCCCTGGTAGGGTTGCTCAGTTGGTTAGAGCGTCATTCCATACATCAGAAGATTGTGGGTTGGGCACATACCTAGGTTTCAGGTTCAATTCCCAGTAAGGGCACGTGCAAGGTTTCTCTCTCACATCTCACCTTCTCTCTCTGTCTCCCTCCCTTCCTCTCTCTCTAAAAAAAAAAAAAAATCAATAAAAACATATCCTTTGGTGAGGATTAAAAATAAATAAATAATTTTGAAATAATACGGGAAGAAGGGAAATAAATGGAGATAGAGGTAAAACATATTAGCCATAGGTTGATAATTATAAAGGTGAGTGATGGGTGTAAGGGAGTTATTATTTATTATACTATTTTGTTTATGTTTGTACATGTTTGAAATTTTCCTAAATAAGAAGTTAAATTTTTTTCTACATCCATAAATTTCCTTGAAATTTGCCATGCTACAACTAGGCTACACTACTCTTTTATTTTCCTTATATGGGAAATACATGAAGAAACAACCTATTTGACCCAGAAGACATTGGATACCATTAGGGCTCAGTTGCCAAAATAACCAGAAATGAGTGAGGCTATACCTGAATATTCTCATGATCTTTCGGATGCAGCAGAAAGCAAACCTCTTGTAGAGCTGTTGGTTGATTGTTGCTACTAAATTTGAACACTTCTGAAATTATTAATTCAGCAAAAATGGTTTTAGGAAACCCCAAATTGCCTGTTCCTATGGCTGGAAATGCAATCGATTTTAAGAGCATGCTCTCAGTGACTTCCAAACATTTTCTGATTATGTCTTGCATGATCTGAAAAGTACAAAGCACATCCTTATACATTTTGCCTAGAAATGGCAGTTAGGACAAAAAACACAAGAATTTAGCAACTTCGACTGTGATCTCTGTCTACTCCTTTTTGCTTTCAACAAAAGACAGGCTAAGGGCATTCTGAAGGGGAAAGAGAACATGAGAAATCCTTCAAAAAGATTCAAATGCACTAAGCAAAGAAGGAAAAAAGCAAAGCAACTACTGGTTTAATCCCTCATGCTCTTCCATTCTTCATGCCCCTGCCTTGCCTTCCTCACTAAAGGTGTGCTATCTTCAATAACTCTTCCCTGAGCCCCAATAATGAGCACTATAATCAATTTATATTATTAACTTGTATTCAGGAGAAGTCAGCTACAGCTGAAAGAAAGGGCCATAATGATGGAACCTGCCAAGAATGTTATTACAGAAGCAAAAGAGACAAGGTGTGATCTACATTATACTGAAAGGAGACCAAAGTGGTACCCAATTTCCCGGAGAATTTAAAACCAGCCCCACCTTATATGAAGATGTGTCGCCACTATTCCAGCTCGGAGCCACCACATGAAGTACTGCGCAACATTGCAGATTATGACTTGTTGTTTGGAGAATCTTGCCCACGTCAATAGTCATCCCTTGTGCAGTTGTATTCAATTCCTCCTGGAGATTTGGCCCAGCTTTTGCCAAGAGGGCCTGAGAAAGGGGCCCACTATTAAGGTCGAGATTCCTAGGAATGGAGTTGACTACAACGTCGGTCTAAAGAAAAAACCAACAATTTGTTTCAAATTCTAACAAAAAGCAGTCATCAAAGATTACCGTATCTGAGCCATTGGATGTGGCACAATGGGGGACAACTAAGATGACTAAGTTTTCAGAGACTGAAATAACACCCAAGACAAAATGTTATTAGACACTTATTTAAATTACACTCCAGGACAAAAGTGAGCTGTCAAAAAGCAATGTATAAATGGTATGGAATCACTGAAGGAGTCCAGAGGAAGTACCTTCAGTGGCCAATGAGGATTCCATGAGTGATATGGGCTTAGAAATGGGAATAGTTGCAGCAGGCAGAGAGGGACAGGGAAGTCATTCAGAAGGGGGACACATATGCATGGTAGCTTGTGAGCTGTGAGCAGATTAGTCTGACCTGATAGAGAGCTTCTGCAGCAAAATGGTGCAAGCCAGGCTGGAAATGTTACAGTGGGGGGTAGACTGCAGAGGACCTCAAGTGCCAGGCTGTCTGGACTTCCCGACAGTGAGGAGCCATGGAAGCTTTTCAGCAGGACAGTTAATGTAAGCAGATTAATCGGGTAGATTAAGACCAGGAGAGGAAAGAGGGGGGAGGGGGAGGGGAGGGGAGGAAGGGAGAGGAAGAGGAAGAGGAGGGAGAGGGAGAGAAGGAAAGTGACCAAGTCATTTTCAAAGCTGCCCTGCATGGGTCACAGAGGAGCAACACATGGCGGGTACTGTTGCATCGGAAGCCAAACATCTATGGGAGAAAAGAAATGGAAGGAATGTCTCACTATTCAGTGTTCAAAATGGACAAGGAACACAACCCATTCTAATTTCTGACTCGTGGTCAAAAGAGATTCTTATTTATTTGGGTTTTTAAATGAGAAACAAAATTATTTCATAATATTTTTGAATAGTGCCTGAACAAATTCCAACCCTGGTTCTACCATTTGTTAGCTATGGGAGTTGGGCAAATTACTGAACCCCTCTAAGTCTCATTCCTTCATCTAAGAAGAACAGCCCTGGAATCTGCCTCATGGCTCTGAATGAGAAAATGCAAGCCAAGCACTTAGCATAGTGCCTGGCACATACTAAATAATCACTGTTAGCTATTATTCTTGTAATTATTACTTAAGCTTATTATATAAGGAAGATGACCCACAGAATGGGAAAAATATTTGCAAATCAGGTATTTGATATGGGACCTGAATCCAAAATATATAGAGAACTCTTAAAATTCAGTAATACAAAGATAATCCAATTTAAAAGTGGGCAAAGAATCTGAATAGATATTTCTCCAAAGAAGATACACAAATGGCCTTCTCTAGGGATCCCTTCCCTAAACCTGCCCACAATCCCCCAAGTAAGGAGGTAACATCTGGCACAGCAGGGGCTTCCACGACTGTTTCCGTTAGAGCCTGTGTTGAAAAGGTTGTTAAATACGTTTAAAAAACACATCACCCCTCTGGCAGATCGACAGGAATTGTCCCCACACAATACCCAGACCCTTCCCAGGTCCAGTCTACTTTCCTTCCCATATTTTCTTACTGGTATTGGGTGCTGATGGTCCCTCAGGCTCCAGCCTCCCTGCTCAACCTGGTTCAGTTCCCTTGACAAAATTCCTGTCCTCTGTCCCCACTTTACGCTCTAATTTTTCTATATCTGCTATCAGTACATTTGATAGAAAATTAACCTTAGATCTGCCAAAATATGACAGGTCTGAAGGCACTGAAAAAGTATAGAGCCTTGTATTTGTAAGCTATTATTGTGGATTTTCACATTTACTAGAAACCTAGTGACCTGAATACACTTCCAGTTCCCACACATAACTGGCCAGTCTCTATCAGTAAGTGCTGTGGTGAAGTAGCCCAGTTTTCTAAGGAAACCTGTTTCCAGGCCAGGATGGAGGGCATGGGATTCTTTCTCTTAATTCTCTCCTTGATCTTAATCTTCCTTTGACAACAGACTCCTGGAGTCGCAGCACCTTGGACAGTGTTCTGTAAAGAGGGACACTCACCGTAGCGTTCTGCACGTCGTCTTCCACCAGCAGGATCCTCAGACCACCCGGGCACAAGAGCATTTTTCTGTTTCCATCGTTGTTTCTCAGGCTGGGCTGGACTGCTGCCGGCACACTGAGCGGGGAAGCAGCATCAGGCACGGTGTTTTTAAATATAATTTTCACAGCTTCAACAAAGGCCTCAACAGTCTTCTCAGTTGAATCCACAAGGTAAACCTCTTTCAAGGTGCGTCCATCCCAGTTATACTGGAAGGTTTCCTTGACGGCCAAAACGATGGTCTCCACACATTGGGATAAGGGAACGCTAAAGACTCCAGAACTAATGGCAGGGATGGCTATGGACTGACAGTGGAGCTTTTCTGCCAAATGGAGACTTTTCTTCACTGCTCCCTTTAACTGTGACATACACCTCTGGGCATCCTCTGCCTTCCACTTGGGTCCTACTGCGTGGATCACCTGGTGGCATGGGAGCTTTCCCGCTTTCGAATTGATGGCATGGCCAGGTGGGATCTTGCCCTTTTTCTTCACTATCCGTTCACAGTCTGCTTGGAGCTCAGGGCCAGCTGCTTTCGAAAGAGCAGCACTCAGGCCGCCGCTGAGCCGGAGCTCCTCATTCGCGGAATTGACCACCACGTCCACAGGAAACTGTGTCAAGTCGCCTAGCCGCACGATCAGTGAGACTCCGGGGGCCAGTTCTGTCTGACAGTAGAACTTCTGCCCATCAGTGCCACCTCCCTGCGCCTTTTCTTCATTCTGCAGCAGTTCCACAAAACAACCATGTGACCGGATCTCACGTTTATAAAACCATGCGTTATCCTGGAAGGACTGCCTGGCTCCTGGCTTATCAATAGTGATGCTTTTAACACAAATTGAATCCCTGGCTTCCTTGAGGATTTTTGCTCCCTCCAGGACTTCGGACTTTGAGCCAATTAGTAAAATGCCTTTTGACTTGTTCTTAAAATCAAAATCTACCTGAACATTTATCTTCTTTGTCTTTATCTTTTGCAAGAATAGTTTCTTCTCTGCCTTTAAATAATCAATAACTAAGGGATGCTTTACCTCAATGAGTCTCTCTATTTTCATATTTTTTTCCACAAAGTCAGAAAGGACTTTGTAGATTTCATCTACTTCTTTCACACAGCCTGCAATGATGACCTCAGCTGTGGTTTCTGAGGCTAACTCATTGATTATTACAGTCTTTGAGGAGGAATTATGTTTCCTGAGCAAATTGTGAGTGATTGCTTTCCATCTCTTGGCATTAAGAATTTGCCTGTCTTCAATGTCTATGCGCTTATAACTTAAGGCACTGACCATCTGCTTTTCAGCTTCTGATAGGAATTCAGAAGAACAGCTGGTTAAGACAACAGTTGTACCCTCTAGCTCATAAACTGCAAGAATTTCCTGTGCTATCAAAAGAGACTTAGAGAATTCTGAACAGTCAGCCTGTTGCAAAAACTGGAAAACCTCAGGGGGAAGCTGAATGCTCTTCTGAACCATGTTAAACACCTTATCCTGGACTTCACACTTTGCTTTATACACATCTACACCGAGTCCTTTAAAGCACATGTGTTGAGTGGCTTTGTCATAAAAAATCTTCATCTCTGGGTACTCCTTGTGGAGATGCTCCTGTACACCACTGTGGCACAAAAGAAAATACTTTCTTGGAGAAATGGACACTTCTACCTTCACACTTTGCTCTTCTCTTTTAATTTTTTGAGTGGTGTTTTCTATTAATTCCTTGATTTGTGGCTCAATGTTCTGTACATCCTTTGATTCTCCCACTAAGATTATAATCTCCATAAGTTTATCAAACTCAATAAAAAATCTTTCATCTTCTAAATCACTTTTTATGGTGTCCCACACTTTTGCATCCACTTTAAATAGGGTAACTTTATATCTAGACCTTATGTCAAAGAATGCTGTGGAAGCATCTTTCTTCCAGTTCTTTATTCTTTTTCTTCCTTGATTGACTAAGGTGGCCGCAGGTCTGATGGTAACTTCACCACTGAGTTCGGACCATGTTAGCTCACAGTGAAAACGTCTCACTTCTTCATTTATCTCCTCAATCAGGTGATTCTTTTTGTGTAAGAACTTCCATAAAGAAAGATCCAAAGATTCTTTAAATGGTGCTGGAAGCTTGATCAGAGGCTTCTCCTTCCCATACAAAGCTGTCCCCAAAGAGGCATAGTATGGGAACACGGAGAGTGGCATATTACTGAGGTCAAGGTCCTTGGTCATGATGGTGTCTAACACTTAAAAAGACAGAAATAAAATCATCTCAGTGTAATAGGTTTCGAATTAAAACAAACAAACAAACAAACAAACCTTTCCTATTCTATAGGGGGAAAACACCCTAATGTTTGTAGAACTTTGATGTTATAACATGGCATTAAAAAGCAGCTCTACTCTCAAAGTGATCAAATGTAAGTTAATATGTATTAATACTAAATAGGTATCCCTTGTGTATTGGAATAATTACTTTCTGGCCAAGATCACTCTATGTTAAAATTCTGTTACATAAATTCTATTTTCTGTTTTTCTGATAACACTGATATATCACCATCAAGTTAAGAAATAGAAATTACTTTGGTCACAAGCATGGGGGTACTGTTTGCACCAGTATAAAGAACAGTTTGGTGCTCAAAGCCAAGTGTGTCTAAGAATCATGCTATTTGCTGTTTCTTGTGCTTCTCACAACTGTAGGCTTCACTGATGATTTGGATTCCATTAATATTTCTAAGGAGAGGAGCATAATCATAATTAGCATAGCTTACCATGTGTCAGATGCTATTCTAAGTGCTTTATATATATTTAATTTAATCTTTGTGCCAACCCTTTGAGATAGAGACACTATTATGATCATCACTATTTACAAATGCTAAAACTCAAGCTAGTAAAGATTAGTTAGATAACTCAAACAGGGTCATGTAGACTGTAAATATATGAGCTAAAATTCAAACCAGTGTCTGTCTGACCCCAAAGCCCATGCTCTTGATCTTCTACTAGCGGTTCCAAACAAAGGTCATCCTCAAAGTCATCAGGCACCCCAGTTGAGAGACTGATTCAGTAAGTCCTGCACCTCCCCTATCCCTGCTACAATCCACCTCCTGTCACTTTTACTGGGACAGTCCCTAGGATGGTGTATGTGCACATCTGTGGGTGGGTAGATGGGGGGATACTCTTCTCCCCAAAACCCCTCCTCATTTTATGATAGTTATTGGATAGGTATAATAGATCTAACTAGAAAGGGAATTTGATTAGCATAATTGTGGAAAGATGTTAAAAATAACGTCACCTCTGCAGGACTGGATCCTAGGCCTTGAGCCAGACATGATAAAAAGAATGTGGCCTTCAGAGTCCAGATACAGCTTCAACTTCCCAACATGGCCCAGTACAGGCTTGGAACCTGGGTAGTCCTAGTGACCCCTAACACGAACTGAGCACCTACCACATGCCAAGCACTTTGCAGTTATAATTTCATTTAATTCTCATGATGTTCCTGTGAAGTAATAACACAAACTCTGTTTTACAGATGAAAAAACAGAGGATGTGGTAGGTTCAGGTAACTCGCCCAAGATCACCAAAGCCAGGTGAGCACCAAAGCCAGGATTTAAACTTGGGTCTATCTGACCCAAGAACCATGAAAGGTGTTACTTTAATGTGCCTTAAATTCTCTATCCCATTTCCTCTTCTGTAAAGAAAGAGTAACTATATCTAACCATGAAGGTTATTGTGGGTATTCAGTGAGGTGCTGTGGCAGAAAACACAGCAAAAAAAATCTCACGTACAATAGGTGTTTAGTAAGAGTTCCCTTCCTTAAGATCTTGTGAATCAGATTTTGTGAAGTTGAACCAAATAATTTCAGAGTGAAGTGCCTAACATTCCTCTCAAATAGTCTACATAAAATACAATATTGTTAAATAAATTCTGTTCTTAATCCACCTTTATCTACAGCTTGCCTCATTATTGGTAACCCACCCTTAAGTGGTGACAGAAGATTGGGAAAAAGTAGAGAATTTAAGAGCATAAATTACAGGGCCCAACTACCCAGGTTGAAATCCTGCCTCTGTCACTATCTGTGTAACCTTGGTCAAGTGATTTGACCTTTCTGCACCTCAGTTTCATCATTTGTAAAATAAGGATTACAATAATAGCAATGCCTATAAAGCAATGTATATAAACGCACTTTGTAGCACCCTGCAGAGCTCTGCAAATGTCCAGAGAGAGAAAGGGAAAATCAGTGTATCTCAGACTCTGGAGAACAGGGAATGAGTGAGGTTAGAGAAGGAGGCGTCGCCAACAGAGTCAGATGGTGTAAAGAGGTCAGGTGAAACGGAACCTTTGAGAGAACCCTATTATTCACAGGTGTAGCTCGGGTATAAAATAAACCTTAACTAAATAGTTCCTGTTATTAGTGGTACACATGTAACTAGACACTCTGAGGACATACCCAACTGCCCTACACCCTCAAAATGTTCAAAAGCCCCAAAGTTGTCAACTCCCACCATTAGTTGGGAGTTAACTTCTAGAGTAGACAGCTTTATGTAGCTCTCTACCTGGGGCCAAGATCAGGCTGAGGGAGATTTAGAGAACATGTGACAGAAACTCTTCTTTTGTTCCTTTGCCCAAGGAACACTAGGTCTTTCATTCTATTTTAATCTAAACCGTACCTTTGCCCCATTTTCTCCAATGTATAAAAGCTGAAGGGAGATTCCTCCAAGTACCCCATGAAACAATTCACCTTGAATGGGTGGCATATCACATGCTCCCCCCATTGATTCCAAGCCCAATGTTCCTTCTTTCCCTAGGGAGCCTGGTCCACTAATTCCTATTCCTCAGCCTTGACCTCTGAATATCAATGGAATCTCCAAGCCGACTTTGCATGTGCCTCAAAGAACTGGAAATCTATGTCTACAAGACCCTCACAAGTGTTTCCCTGAGGTTCGGCCCGACATGGTTTTCACAGGTCATGTGAAATCCACTGATCATGTGAAATCACCCCTATTAACTTTGACAGATGAAAGGGGCGGTAGTGATATTTTCTAGGAACTGGATGTGTTTCTGAGTATTTCTTTACCTAACCTTGTTGAAATTAACTTGAGAATTTCTACCAAGTATACAGCTAAAATGTGGGTCATCTCTTTTTTAATACAGTATTTCCAGTATCCTAAGAATTATAAATTTTTCAGTTCATCATAGGTAGAGACTCAGGAGAGAAACTGTATCTTTCAAAAGCTTGACATTACTTCTTTAAAGTCTGAATCACTGGACACATTAAGCATCATATCCCAGATGAACAGGATTTCTAACTGGATTACCAATGAAATATAGGAATAAAAAATAAAACACATTGGAATTCAACTGATAACTATACTGATAAGATCTGCTAACATACTTTTTAGGTTGTGCCAGGTAAGGTTTACAAAATCAGGCTTATAGATATTACCTTTTCTGTCATAAAATTCAATCAGAGCTGAACTCTCTTCAGGAAAACATTCAATATTGGCAACTCTTCCCCCTCCATTTTGAGGATTTTCAAATAAACATTTCAAACTATAGGAGTCGACACCAGGCGGCAGGTTCTCGACCCTGATTATTTTTGTCTCTTCCAGAAGTCTTGGAGAAAGCTGAAGTTGTTTCACTGTATGGTGCATAGTACAATCTTCAACAAACTTCATGGCATCTGCAAACCAAAATCAATCTATCAGAAAATTATGATTATATCTTTATATTATACAGAAGAAACTGTCTGAATATTGAGATGAAGGAGGGAGCTAAGCACTCGATTTTTAGATGCAGATTTTAATTCCTAAATGGGAATTTACTTGCCTAAAATTCTCAGTGTCTGAACAACAATGCATATCTGAATGTCTTACCAGGATTACTGCCACCGAGCTGTTTCCCTACCTTTGCTCACAGCCCTCTCCAACCCTCCTTGGCATAACCACCGGAGGACTCTCTCTACTGTACAAATCTCCTCATTTCACCCCTTTCTCAAGTCCTTCAATGGCTCCCCATTACCTGCAGGCATGAGTTCACACTCCTTAGCTAGGCACACTATAACCTTGACTACCTGACTCCAAACTAATTTCCAAATATCACCTCTGGTTATTCCCTGTCATTCATTTTATTTTCCATATTCCCACAGAAACTAGTTATTATTTTGAAAACCCATTCTCTTTTGCCTTTGTATATATGATTTCCTGTGCCTGAAATGCCCTTCATTTTTTTATCTTGGTTCTACTCCTCCGTCAGTACTCAACCCAATGATCTCTTGCAAATAAATACTAATGTCAGGCCCACAGTGTGTCAGGCACTGTGCTAGGAGCTGGGGGAGAGAGATTAATATAGCAAGTCCCTGAACATTCACCTTCCAGGAGGGAGTCTTGAAAGCAAACAAGTGGTCTAATGTGGAAACAAATGAGGTGGGAAGACTAATATTGGCGTTCAGATAAGGATTCCAAGAGTAAGTGGTCACTGATTCGAGTTTTGAAGCATGAGGAAGAGTTTACCAGATAGGTAAGGGGAGGAAGCATTTCAGGCAGAGGGAACAGCAGTGACATGAAACAACACAGCATGTTTGCCACCTGATAGACTGGTACCGCTGGAGTCTAAGCTTCATAGGAGGGAGTAGGCAGGGCAGAGCCACGCCACCTTGTTTGGGTCCCCTTTCCTCCCGTTCCCCACAGCCTGCTGTTCCCAGCAGAGGGAGGCAGCTTCTCCTCTTGCATCTTCATTGTACACTCAAGTACGGGTTTCCTCCCTGCCCCGCAGGAGTTCCTCAGAAGCAGGGACCAAGAAATAGTCATCTCTGTACCCCCAGCACCTAGGCAAGTGCACACAGTAGGAGTTCAAAATTTTTGCTCAATGAACAAAAAGCAAGTCCATCTAGTTCTACCTTTATAAGGAATAATCATAAATTTGAAATAAGAATAGCTCCCTTTATTGAGTCCTTACCATGTCTCAGGAACTCTGTTAAGAGCTTTTCAAATATTATCTCATTTAATCCTCACAGACACGGTATCAGGTTGGGATTATTATTCCCATTTTATAGGGGGAAAAAGTAAAACACACAGAGGACAGTAACTTGACCAACCTCAGATAATTAAATGGTGAAGCTAGAATTTTGACTTCACGACCTGTGCCTTTTTTTTTTTTAATCCTCACCTAAGGATATGATTATATTGAGGAAAGGAGAGAGAGAGACAGAGAGACATTGATGTGAGAGAAAAACATCAACAGACAGCCTTCTGTAAGTGTCAACTGGGGATCGAACCCACAACCTTTTGGTGCAAGGGACAGAGCTCCAACCAACTGAACCACCAGGCCAGGGCACGACCTGTGCTCTTAACTAACCATTCCAAGGCCACGGATATGGAATACTGGGGGCTTGGAATTGGAAAATTTCACTGCTTTTCTGGAGATGGCTCTGCCAACTCACAGACACCTCCCAAAGGCCTCAAAGAACACTCATTTTCTGCATCACATACACTTACTCTCACTGCATATGGGGATGACCATGAAAATACTAAGAAGACGTATGGTAAAGGGGAAAACAGAACACGCTGTGTAAAGGTATGCTGCCTGGGCTCAAATCCAGTTCTTCCACTTATTAGCATCTCCGCACCTCTGTCTCCTCAAATGTAAAATAAGGAATAATAATCATCATCTCAAAAGGTTGTTGAAAAGAACAGATCAATTAATACATGTAAAAAGCTCAGCATAGTACCTGACTTATAGTAACACTCTACGAGTGTTTGTTATATTATCATTATTACCTTCAAGTCCAGTTTGGTAACACAGAGCAATACTTACTTCTCTCAATGAGGTAAAACATGTGAAAATCCTGACTCCTGCTCTCAGAATCACTTTAAGAAACTTGGACTTTAATATTTAGATTTTTATTTGGTGTTTTCTCTCTCTCTCTCTCTCTTTCTCTCTCTCTCTTTCTCTCTNCTCTCAATGAGGTAAAACATGTGAAAATGCTGACTCCTGCTCTCAGAATCACTTTAAGAAACTTGGACTTTAATATTTAGATTTTTATTTGGTGTTTTCTCTCTCTCTCTATCTCTCTCTCTCTCTCTCACACACACACACACACACACACAAAACTCATACAATAAATTTAATTTATTAAACATACCAGAATTTGGATTCAAAACAAAATTGCTTCTCTTTCAAATAAAAAAGAATCGATACTAACTTGGAGTCCTCTCTTAACAGCTACTAGAAAGAGTCAAACTTTCACAGACATCCCATTAGCTGGGTGTCCCAAATTCCAAATGTACGGTGCAAAGACAACTGAAAATGAAGTGTCACTTAATCTTACCTATATATTTTCGAAAGGTAACTACAGCGACATCAAAATCTCGTATTGCTTCCACTTGAAAATCATTACTGGACAGACCACTTATGTTCTCCACCAACAAGATTATCATCATGTCAGTGACATGTGCTTTGAGATTTTCAAATGCAACCAAAGAGGGAATATTTTCACATTTTTCTGGGAAATCTTCCATTTTTTCTGATCTTCTATAGAGAGATTTTGTATCTTCCGAAGCATCTGATTTTAAGGATACAAAAGAGGTCAAAATGTTATATTTAACTACCATGGTCTTAGCAAAGTAAATTATCATAAGACACTGCCCTCTTTCCTTCCCAACCTCTTAGCTAACTCAAACAAAAAAAGATTTTAGAAGGCTTTTTGCTTAAATTAATTATGATGACGATATTCAATTTTATTCCACCTTTTTCTGCTGACCTGTACTTGTATCACAACACCATATTAAAATTATTGAACTCAGTTTTTCAAAAGCAAGGGACATGTTTATGCATCTTGGTATTGCTAACACATGGTATATACTTGAAGCTCAACAAGTGTTTGCTGAATTGGAGATTTACTGCTTGCACCACTGGAGAAAAGCAAGAATACCTGATGATGCCAAACCAGAGCATCATCTAACACTTTATGCTCTGAAAAGCAATAACTTACCATCACTGAAGAGAAAAAAAGATACTTGCACCGAATGACTAGGGAATACACAGAGAGAGCTGCATGTACACACCAAACTCACTGAACAGCAATCACTCCAGCCAGGCTGTTCCTCCCCATTGTTGACCATAAGTGAGTTACACATGTGCATAAGGTCATTCTCACTCTATGCTTGTCCAGGGCAGTGAAGCATGATGGATACGATATGATCATTAGACATTCTTGAACAACTGTTCAGTTGGAGCCCTTATTATGTTCAAGGTACTGGACATATGGAGAGGGGTGCAAACATAAAACATTAAATAAGGGACTTATTTTTCTAATGGAGGTATTCCAGAAAAATGAGAAAGGGAACTGACATTTGTAAATGTTTATTATGGCAGAATAAAATGCCATGTGCTCATCAAATCCATTTTATTTCCTTTCTGGGAAACATTGCCCAGACTTCCTACAGTTAAATTCCTATAGTAGTGTTCATGTAGCTAAAGGAATATGTGTGGAAGGGGTGAGTTCCCCTTCCAGGCATGGCCAATACAAGTCTCCTTCATATGGATCTCCATTCTCCCTTGCAGTGACCTTGGAGGCCATGTACCAAGGATAACAGTAAAAAAAAAAATAGGAGGAGCCTGGATCCCCCAATGACTGCATGAAGCTGTCTTGACTCTAGCCACCACCCTAGCTGCCAACTGCTGTGACCTGGGGGGTTGTTTGTTACAGCAGTTTGATCACCCCAACAAATACTCTTGCTGTGTGTTGGATGTGGCACCACACACACACTCATGTCAAATAAAAAATAGTTTGAGGATTCAATAACAACATAAATTAGGATTCAGTGAGGCAGGTATGACGAATCAGAATGAGTACTGGGCTGAGGGAGAGGTTATATGAGCTCCATCCCTGACTCTGCCACTCCTTAGCCATGTGACCTTGGGCACTTCTATTTTTATTTATTTTTTAATATATCTTTATTGATTTTAGAGAGAGGAAGAGAGAGAGAGAGAGAAACATCAATGATGAGAGAGAGTCATTGATCGGCTGCCTCCTGCACGCCCCGGACTGGGGATCGAGCCCGCAACCAGGGCATGTGCCTTGACCAGGAATCAAATCGCAATCTCATGGATCCTAGGTCAATGCTCAACCGCTGAGCCAAGGCCCGCCTGGCTAGGCACTTCTCTTAATTATAAAATGAAAGTATTGGACTAAGTGAATGGTAAGAGCCTTGCTAGCCATACAGTTTGACCGCCCCATGACTATTAGAAGCTTCATCACAAGAGAGGCTTGGTTAACTGCCATATAAAGAGGACAGACAATCAAGAGAGGATTCTAAGAAAGAGAGATAAAGGGATTGGGCTAGTTTGGAAAGGCATTAGAGAAGAAGAAGCTAAGTAGATCTTCAAGGGTATAGAGAATTTAGGTAGAGAGAAAAGTGGGGTAGAAAGTATTGTGAGCCACAGAAGTACAGGCAGTGTCATGATTGTGCCAAACTATTCAGGAAATGGTGATTTGACCGATAAAGCTCAAGGGGCTCTACCGTATAGAGATGTAAGAAGTGAGGCCAGAAAAGTCAGCTTCATTCAGAACACGGTCTGGACTTCATCTTACAGCTGGTAAGGGTGAGTCAAGGAAGATTTCTGTAAAGAGGATGACCAGATATCCAGCAAACAAAGCTCTGATTTGAGAAGGACAGCAGGTGCAGAGAGATCAAGCAGGGCACTCCTGGCATGCTGGATTTGTGAAGTAATAATGGGGGCCTGGGGTGAGGGAGGAATAGATGAGACCAACATATGTGAAAGCTTAAAGAGAAGACAGCCCAGCAGGGTGTGGCTCAGCGGTTGAGCGTCGACCTAAGATCCAGGCGATCAGGGTTCGTTTCCCGGTCAGGGCACATGCCCGGGTTGCGGGCTGCAGCTGATCAATGACTCTCTCATCATTGATGTTTCTATCTCTCTCCCTCTCCTTTGCTCTCTCTGAAGTCAATAAAGATATATTTTAAAAAATTAAAAAAGAGAAGACAAATTTCCAGTAGGTGATGGGCAAACTAGTTATGCACTTCAAGAGAAATAAAAAAAGACAGAAAAGGACACTGGGTTGGAGGCAGATGACACAGGTGGCTTCAGACACATTGGTTCTAACATATTTTCCAACACAAAGGTCAGGCACAAGGTCTGGAATTTCGAAGAGTCCAGGCTGGAAACATAGGCTTGAAAAAACAAAATTTGCTGACCTCTAGTGAGCATATTTCTCTGCTCGTGTTCATCTCTTTTCTCCTAGTTCCTCCGCTTGCTGGTTTCCACCTTTCAGGCCCAGCCCAGCTCAGCTTAGCCTGGGAGAGGGCACTGGCTTAGTGCTCAAATCCCCTGAGGTTGGCATGTGCCTTGATGGACCTTTCCCTGCCCTGGCACTGCCTGTCAATCTTTAACTTGAAGCTCTGGGTTTCACGCATGCCTAGTGCCTTCATAGTGCAGTGTCCTCTACTCTCCTTATCCCTGAGATATGAGACCTATTAGGTAACCACCATCCATCTGCACTTTTATTACCATTCCAATGTATTTCAAGAGTTCCAGCCTTAGGGACATTGTCAGGACTCAGCGTGGAGCAACTGCTCAACAAAAGACCTCCTCTTCCATCTCTCAAAAGGGCCAACTTAAGTATCTTGTTAAAGACTACCCAACTTTTTGGCTAGTTAAGAGTCTGGGTCAGGTAAAAACAGGTTAGTAAATGGGTCTAAAATGTCTAGGACAATGAGAAGTCCAGCGGTGGAGTGGGGCTGGATGACTCTCCCTGAGAATATATACACTTGGGGGTCTTAAGCAAATCTGAAGCAGTGCTAATAAATCAGTAAAGACAGAGTTAGGGTAAATCTATGAAACCATAAGAAACGCAGACTAGATTATATTCTCGATGTGGGAAATGGTACAGATATAAATGTACAAATATAAAACCACTTCCTGGTCAAAAACTGAACTTGAGGGTACAGCATGTAAGGTATCATCCAAGAAGGAGGTAAGGATTTAGGGAGTCACAATGAACATTGGGAGTTGGGTAAGTCCGATATCTGAAAAATGAAAAAAAAAAAAATCTTCTCTCATTAGAATCATGAGCTTCTTAAGGAAACCATACATACTAGATTCCACAGTTTAACAGCACACTCACGTTAGGTAAAAACAACCTATACATCCCGATCCAGTCATTTTACCAAGTAAAGGCAGCTCTCATCCTAGTGCTATTTTCAAAACGAGAAAGTTGCAAAATTCTAAACATGTTCTCAAGACAATTTCTGTTTTGGAAGAAAATATTTACACATATTTTGGAATTCCTTTTCCCTAAGATCTGGATATATGTATCACTTTATCTCTCTTGCTCAGCAACTCAACATGTTTCATCATTTCCTCCCCTTTATAACGCCATGCTTACCCGGGAAAACTAGTCGCTTCTTTAGTAAATGTCAGGTGCTACAAGCCAACACCCAGATACTAGTTAAGCAACAGAGTCCACAACAGCTACTAGGTTTCAGGCTCTTTCTTATAGCAGGTGGGAGGAGAAGAGCTGCTGCTGGTCTGGAGGGCTGGACCCCCATCCTACACCCAGCGTTCAGAAGCTGTCATCCACAGAGGACCCACACCTTCCTGTTGTGGCTCCAGAGGGCAGCACTTTCCACACCCGGTGCTCAGAAACTGAGCCACACCCAGCTCCCACTGACATGTTATGTCCTTGCTTCTTGATANCCAGGCTGGAAACATAGGCTTGAAAAAACAAAATTTGCTGACCTCTAGTGAGCATATTTCTCTGCTCGTGTTCATCTCTTTTCTCCTAGTTCCTCCGCTTGCTGGTTTCCACCTTTCAGGCCCAGCCCAGCTCAGCTTAGCCTGGGAGAGGGCACTGGCTTAGTGCTCAAATCCCCTGAGGTTGGCATGTGCCTTGATGGACCTTTCCCTGCCCTGGCACTGCCTGTCAATCTTTAACTTGAAGCTCTGGGTTTCAGGCATGCCTAGTGCCTTCATAGTGCAGTTTGGGCACAAGTGGGTTCTAAAGGTCAGTTCATAACCACCTTCCGGGCACCTCTTTGCCCCCCCTCAACTGCAAGGTGTCTTCCAGTGCCCACTGAGAAAGCTGTCCCCATCCCTCTGACCTGAGCCCTGAGAGGTCAAGTGGCTCAGTCCCCCAGTGTTCGCCCTCTGCACAGCTGAGAGTATAAAGAGGATGATGCCCAAGGGCTCTCCAAGCTGAGAAAACCCTGCCTGGGAAGTAAAGAAGGTAAGAATGGGGTCTACAGGTGCCATTTTTAACAAAAGCAAAACTGCCTCGCAAAGGCCAGTCATCTCAACTGAGACCTTACCTGGTTCCTTGGCATGGTCTTTGGTCTTGGATTCCTGAAACCCAAACAATAAAGTAGCATTAATATATTACTAATAATTTCCTTACATTAAGAAAATGTGCCTGGGACCAGCCTGGAGATGTAGGGTCAACAGAAACGATAGTGAAAAGCTCTGACAATGGCGCTTTTGAATGGCACATCCACTTACTCAGCACAAAAATCACTGGTAAACATGAGTTGCAAATAACAGAAACCCCAGTGAACACCAAGTGTCTGGGGCATGGGGTAAGACCTACATCTTTTCCCCATTTAACATTTTTTGAGTCTTCCTTATGAACAAACACTGTGCCATGTGCTTTACACACGTCATCTCATCCCAACCCTCACAACAATCCAACAAACCAATGAGGTAGATACTATTACTATACCATTTTAGGAAATACTTAGTACATGCAGTATGGATCACTATCTCCCCGAAACAATGTAAAAATAAAACAAATATAGCAAGTTCCAGGTGAAGAGCAACCAGGACAAACAGACCCAAAATTTTACATCTCAAACCACCCTTATTATAACCCCCAAATCTTGACTTTTCCAAAAGTGTCTAAAATCAAACAAAAAGTGCCCCTTCCTTCATCATTCCATACCTATTGCACCACATCTAGAAGCTGCATTTCTCACTCCAGTTTGATTTATATTTTTTATTCCACTAGGTGTTCCTCATTGCGCTTCTCATCCCACACACCTTGGGAAAGCACCCTACTTCCCTTTCACTCATTCTTTTTATTACCTTTGTTGGAATTTTCCCCTCAGAGACATCACGGACTTCATTTGGGGCTGTGGGCAACTGGACCGTTAACTTAAATGTTCCTTTTTCTGGCCATACTAACTCATGGTTCTCTCTCTCCAGAACCCTCTGCCGAACTGAAAAAGCAAAAGAAAACGGAGAAGGAAAATAAGAAGGGGGGGGCATCAAGCAATCTTTATTCACCAGATTATTCCATGATTTCTGTAGGCTTTGTCATCATCACTCAATTGCTTGGTCATTTCCCCAAGAGGCCTCATGTGGTAAAATAAGGAAAAGTTTAGCAAGCAGACATGGGTTTGAATTCTATCTTTAAACATATTTTAACCTTAAGCATGTTCCAAAGCCTCAGTCTTCTTGTATATTAATAAGCCATTAATAAAGATTGTGTTATACGGGTGTTACCAGGATTCAATTGAAGAAACATTATAAAGAATTTAGTACAGTACCTGATACTCAGCAGACACTCAGAAAGGGAGCAATATTTATTGTACAGTAAAGAAAATAAAAGCATCCATCATGGTGACCCAGTGAGGATTGGGTGCTGGGGCATGGCATGATAAAAGCCATGTTTTAGGAATGTGACTCAGGTAACCAGAAGCCGAATGGCCAGGAGCCTAGTTAAAAAGCCATTTCAATCGATTCTTTAACTTGTGAAGATAAGAGCCTCACATCTGATAGTAAAAGGAAAAGAAAAAAAAAAGGATGGATTTTTTTTTTTTTTTAAATAGCACATGAGGCAGTTGGGCTTTAGTGAAAAAAACTGAACAATAAATATCAGCGTTCAAAAAACCTGGATTCGAATTCCAACTGTGCCACAAACGAGATCAGTGACCTTGAGAAACGATCTTAACTTCTCTTAAATCTGTTGCCTCACTCAAAACAATGGTCTGTGAATGAATTTTGTAACACATACAAAAGGCATGAAAATGTAAGTTATAAGGAGCAGCCAAAGACAGAAAGGGAAAGTCAGTATATTTCAGACCGTGGAAGAACAGGGAATGAGTTTAGACAAGGAGGTGTGGTCGACGGATCAGATGGTGCAGAAATGTGAGGGCGAAGGGGAGCCTTTGAGAGTGCCCTACTGTTCACAGTGTAGCTCCTGCCGTGAGCACTGGGTTACAGTGTTGTATCCTGATAAGGTTGCCTGGTGAGGCCAAGGATATAGGCAGGAATCTTTCAAAAAGAGGGGCTTGAATAGCTTTTCCACTTCAACCATCCACGAAGGGGTAGGAGACGTGAGGTCTTAACTGGATGAAACAGACCCCCAGAAACAATATGAGAAGAAATGCCGGACCCTAATTTCACTCTTTATGGGAGGGCAGATGTCTTCATACAGACTCCTAAGGGGCTGCCCTAAGCTTGATGAGAGCTGAATAAGAACCTGAAGCCATTGAGGAAGCTAAGTTTTGTAAGCCAGCTTGTCCAGAGTCATGGGCCTCTGTGATGCATTTCTTTTATTGTTCCCTGGACTTTGGTAGAGTCCTATCCAGGGACTGTGCCAGCCTGTTCTGTGTGCAATATGCATGAGGATCACTACTTCAAGAGGACAGATGATAGCAAGATCCATAAGTGCTCCCCTACAAGGAGAAGGTGAATCTGGGAGGAAAAAGCTGAAACTCTGATGTCCAGTCCCCCTTACCCAATGTGAACTGTTTCCCTTCTGCACAGTCCCTTATCAAACCATCCACACTTACTTTTATTTAAAGAGAAGATGGGTTTCCTTACCCCAAAGAGACTGACAATAATCAGGTGCCAAATTATGATGAAAGAGGATGATAAACGACACATCGGAAATGAAATTTAAAATCTTCCAAGTCAATTTACACTTAATTTTTCAGAAATTCAGTGAACTATACAAAGGTAAGATACAGCTTCTAAATAGCTCCTGTGTGCTCTACTGTAATTTGTACAGAGAAATGCTGATGAGCTCATTTTTGTTATGTGAATTACGTGACTAAAGTGTTACAGGATGAGCCTGCACCTGCTGAGGCCACTTCCTGGTGTGGAGGGGCAGTGTCTCCCTGTAAGAAAAAATCTCCTGCCCCAGGACTGCTACCAGCAGGTCATTTATTGTTAGCAAATTCCTGGCAACTTACTGCTGAGGAAACTGAAACTGATAGGGACTTTCCACTCCCCATGAACCTTTGGCCACAAAAGTCTCGAGTAGCACTAAGTCTTGAAGAAGTCTGTGCTGGGGGTAACACAAAGGGGCCACTGGAGCAGCCTGGGGGTGCAGGAAGGGGCTCGTGCGCTAGAACATGTGCAGGAAGAAGCCTGGCAGGAGACTGAAACTGGTTCTGCTTTGAGGGTTAGAATAGAATGACGTTATCACAAAATTATATTTTGCGCTGATTGCATTTTTATGCTGTTTGTATTTTCTGTAATCAGCTTCCTTTTTGTTCATCCAGAGTTGTCAACAACCAACCAGGATTCTCAAACTTTAGTGTATCAGAGTCACCTGAGGTGCTGGTTCGAAGTGCTGATGCCCTCTCACCCATCCACACTCAGGGTTCCTGAGCCTCTAGGACAGAGCTGGGCTGTTTGCTGTGAGTTAGATGAAGGGGATCTGTGGCCCCAATTTGAGAACTACTCCTGAGGGTTAATGGGATGCTAAAGAAGAAAGAAGTGTCCCTAAGGGCCAGACCTATGGTGATGATAACAGTTGGAATCAAAGTGGTAACATCCCTCGAGGAAATGGCTGTTATCGTACAGTTGCCCTTCTGTGCATTCCTTGATGAAATTTACCCTTGGAAAACTTTGTACCTTGTTTTCATAAAGCTCCGAGCCAACAGTCTCCTTTCTCCTGCCCCCTGCCCACCTCACTTCCTTCACACTTATCTGTGCACCCCCTTCCTCCCTGGGTTTCACCTTTCCTTTCTGGATCATTGCCTAAAGCTTTCCAATTGCTCTCATGGCCTTGTAAGCCTCCTTGCCTCTCCACTGGCCCAAATGCTTCTCCAATCCAGTGGCAAGAAAGCGGGATAGGTGTTGTCCACAGCCTGTCTTTCCTATGAGATTCCAAGGGGAAAAGGTGACCATTGCCTCCCAGTGCAGGACCTGGTGGGTGTCCTAAGCAAGCAGATATGTGGTGGGTATTTTGTCGTTCCCCTTTCTTAAACAGCAAAAGCAATCGGGAGCAGAGGAGAGCTCAGGGTCTCAACTGCCTGTGAGGAGGGAACTTCCCCCTTAACAGCTCAAATCTCCCAACCTCGTTCAACCCAGTCTGAGCACCACCCTGAAACTAAGGGACGGGAACCAGTGAATGACCAACAAAGATGCTGTGTTGATCAAGAGCAAACTGTCATCCCCCCCAATAATTCTATTTCACTCCGACAATGTGATTTTAAGCAGCGTTTCTGCCCCTCTCCCAGGCGACCCCAGAACCACTGGAAGCTCCATGACCCAAGGGGGAATCCCCATGACTTCTCCCATTGCTTAGCCAAAAATTAACAGAAAGAAAAGGGGCTCTCCCTCTCCTTCCCTCTCAAATGGATCATTGCCCGTTTCCACAGAATCAGTTACCAAATCCAGAACAGCACACAAATGCGTCTCTTCCATCCCCACACTGACTTGCATTGTTTAGGGACTCACTGGTCCTCACTCAGAACACTGCAAGAATCTCTTCAAAGGTCAGAGTTTCATGGTCTCTCCCAACAGAAATCAATATACTTATTGTCAACCAAATTTATCTCCCTAAAGTATATTTGGAGGTACTATCCCTGGAAACGTTCTCTTCCCTTAAAATCGTGTTCCTAAAGACTGTGGAAGTTCTAGAACTGCTGCTTTCATAGGCAGAAGACAAAAAGCGCACTAGATGCAACCCTGCCATTAGCGTACTACGCAGCCTTGTAAAATGAGGTGAGGGAACCGGCTATAAGGCAGCGCCTTTCGGGTCTACGCGGTTCTGCAGCCACCTCGGAGCCGCAACTCGTAGCGCCTGGAAGCGCAGGGCAGAGGAACGAACCGACCCCGCGCGCTCTAGGTCCATTCGGCAACCCCCAACC